GGATACATGCAGACCTTCCACGCTTCCCTGAATCTAGAAGAGACCGCGCAGAGATAACCCAGCTCTACCATGAAAACACAGCAAGGTTATCGCCATTGTACCATGACTACATAAAAATGCGAACTTTGCAAATCTATTGAGTGAAGCGGTATGGGTTGAATTTTATGACTTGGATGGGTTGGCTGACTCATGGGAAACACTGGTAATTGCCTTCGTTATAGCCTGCAATGCTGTTGATGATCTCGTGTTTTGATATAATAATACATTAAGCTAAGCCAAGCGCAATGAGACGATTCATCACATCTTGCTCAGTCCATTCAAGCTATTGCATATGTTTTTCATCTGTTTCATTTTTGGACGAGTCTACTATAAGGGTAACGCTATTTTCCAGGGCATTTTCATTTATGAAGCTGAGGCCTTCCATTAACTTCCATTAAAAAGACCGAGGGCTTCTGCAAATGATAATATCACAGGCAGGTTGATTGGCCAGCATATCACAGGCAGGTTGATTGGCCAACATATCACGGGCAGATTGATGAGCCAACATATCATGGGCAGATTGATTATCCAACATATCACAGGCAGATTGATTAGCCAACATATCACAGGCAGATTGATTAGCCAACATATCACAGGCAGATTGACTAGCCAACATATCACAGGCAGGTTGATTAGCCAACATATCACGGGCAGGTTGATTAGCCAACATATCACGAGCAGATTGATTAGCAGGTCAGCCAACATATCAAGGGCAGATTAAATAGCCAGCATATCACGGGCAGATTGACTAGCCAACATATCACAGGCAGGTTGATTAGCCAACATATCACAGGCAGATTAATTAGCCAACATATCAAGGGCAGATTAATTAGCCAACATATCACAGGCAGATTGACTAGCCAACATATCACAGGCAGGTTGATTAGCCAACATATCACAGGCAGATTGATTAGCCAACATATCACAGGCAGGTTGATTAGCCAACATATCACAGGCAGATTGATTAGCCAACATATCACAGGCAGATTGATTAGCCAACATATCACAGGCAGATTGATTAGCCAACATATCACAGGCAGATTGATTAGCCAACATATCACGGGCAGATTGATCAGCCAACATATCACGGGCAGATTGATTAGCCAACATATCATGGGCAGGTTGATTAGCCAACATATCAAGGGCAGGTTGATTAACCAACATATCACGGGCAGATTGATTAGCCAACATATCACGGGCAGATTGATTAGCCAACATATCATGGGCAGGTTGATTAGCCAACATATCACAGGCAGATTGATTAGCCAACATATCACGGGCAGATTGATTAGCCAACATATCACGGGCAGATTGATTAGCATGCTTTTGGCTTTTGTTTGATCAATTTCAGCGCGTGAAGCGTGACCAGCCAAGACGAATAAGTGAATGCTGTTTAACGACATGGCCAGCTATACTCCAGACATGACAGCGACATTGTCATAATCGGGAGACGGGCACCTTGCGGCTGACAACACGAACAACCACACACGTTAAGGAACGCTGTCACAGAACCAGGGCACATTGTAACCACCCCATCCACATTATCTGGCTGTTAAAGCATGTCGCAGTGGGGACGTGTACTGACCTGGAATCTTCAGGGGGACCAGTTACGAAAGGGCCATGCATGTTGAATATCCACCTCTGTGACCACACGAGGATAATGTAACACTACTACTAAGTTCAATGTATGAAAACCTCGGTGCCCAGAAGTACAGGAATCCACAGAACATAATCAGTATATGGAGAAATACGGAAGATGGAGGTAAATCAACAAAGAATGCAACAACAATCCACGTAAATAAAGGTCACTATGGTATGCAGTGAGTGAGTGAGTTAAAATGTCACGTCGCATCGGCCATATAGCGACGAGAAAAAGTTGATTTGGGGTAAATTGGCCTGAATAACATATTTAATATTGTTATGCCAAATTATGTTTGACTAATGTGTTTTTTAATATAACTTTGTATTTATGACTCAAAGGTGTGTGTGTGTGTGCTTCCGTGCGTGCGTGTGTGTGTGCGTGCGTGCGTGCGTGCGTGCGTGCGTGTGTGTGTGTGTGTGTTATACAAAACCCGTAGATCAGGGGTAGACTAGGTCTTCAGCAACCCATGCTTGCTGTAAAAGGCGACTATGCTTGTCGTAAGAGGCGACTAACGGTATCGGGTCGTCAGGCTCGCTGACTTGGTTGATGCATGTCATCGATCCCAGTTGCGTGTATCGATGTTCATGATGTCAATCACTGGATTGTCTGGTCCAGACTCGATTATATACAGACCGCCGTCATATAGCTGGAGTGAGTGAGTGAGTGAGTATGGTTTTACGCCGCTTTTAGCAATATTCCAGCAATATCACGGCGGGGGACACCAGAAATGGGCTTCACACATTCATATAGCTGGAATATTGCTGAGTGCAGCGTTAAACAACAAACAAAACAAAACAAATATATGTAATAATTTGTCATAATATTAATTATGTTATTAAGACCAATGTACCCCAAAGACCCGTATATTGCCCTTCATTAACGCATGTCACCGGGGCAAAGAGGGCCAATGTGTTTTTAGCCTTCTCGAAGTTGTATAAATCTAAATGACTGTAAATAAATGATGACACAATTCCCCGATGTCCTAGTTCTCATTACCTCTTTATAGGGGCACGGGTGGCCCAGTCGTCTAAGGCGCCGCGATTCGCTGTGCAGAGTTGCGTCCCTTGGGCACGCCAGAAACCTATGATTGTGGGTTCGAATCCCGGTTCGCCCCGATTATGTTTCTAGGTTTATCAGCACCATACCCGTGCTCGTGGGTTTCACCGAAGTGGTAAACGTCTGAGACCTGCATCACTTCGGGCTTTCCTCCCACATTAAGCTGACACGCCGCGATATAACTGGAATAATGTTAAAAGCGGCGTTAAACCCAACTCACTCACTCACTCATTACCTCTTTATATATACATATCGCTTCTTTACCGATTGTGGGGCGTGCCACGGTGAATGAGAACATATCATATGTGCATAGAAGCGTTGCTGACATGAAGTTTGACTATGTACAAGTGAGAGAACATACGTCCTCTTCAATTACGTGTAGATTCTTTTTTGAAAGAATCCTTTTGATCTGGACCGCCTCCGTGGTCTGTTGGTAGAGCGTCCGCCCTGATGAACAATACCACCACCTGTCTGACCTTCCATGAACGTGAACTGTTTATGTCAGTTGTGGTTGCGGATGGAAGTGAATCGCTGAATCATAATCCGACAAGATCCTCACATTTCACAGCGACTGTTTTAATAAGCTTGTGAATACGCAGTCTTACTTGACTCCAGCTCAAAAGGTGAGGTGAGGTGAAATGTGGTTTAACGTCGCTTCCAAGATTATTGCACTTACATAGCGACGTGTGTGCGTGCATGTGCGTGCGTGCATGTGCGTGCGTGCGTGCGTGCATGTAGCAGTCCGGACAAATGCCGATTGTATTGTGCTAGCCCACTGAGATACCATGCCGCAGTTTAACATGAATATCCCACTCAAACACTGTATTCTGACCAGTATAGCAGACCAGTCCTTGTTTAAACCCCAAACTGCCGAGCGCCAGACAGGGTACCAACAAGTGCCATCTTTTGGCATGACGTGGCCGGGTTTGAATCTCTGATCCTGCGCTCTCCTGGCAGACGCTCTACCATAAGACAACGGGGGCGGTCTGTCCAGATTAAACCTGGACTCGTCTGTGAACAGTATACTGTCCCAGTATAGTCTTCAGAACCTCAGATCTACACGACCCGTGAAGATTCCGGGGTAGAATAGGTCTTCAGAAACCCATGCTTGCCGTAAAAGGTGACTAGGCTTGTCGTAAAAGGCGACTAACGGGATCGGGTGGTGAGGCTCGCTGACTTGGTTGATGCATGTCATCGATCCCAATGACGTGGATCGATGCTCATGATATTAATCACTGGATTGTCTGGTCCATACTCGATTATATATATAATTTTACAGACCGCCGTCATATAGCTGGAATATTGCTGGATGCGGCGTTAAACAACAAACCAACCAACCAACCAAATCAGATTGACACCAAGCTTGGCGTGCCTGACAGTGACGTGGAAGCAAATTGGTGGAAACGGCAGTTTGTCGGGACCGAATGTTTTTCTCCCTAAACCGGCTGCGTACGCTTCTGTAACTAATTAGTCTCAACCCAAGTATTGTCCGAGCTGTTAACGTAGCAATTCGGTATCGTTTCCGGAGATTCACCAACCGAAAATGGTTGTTGCCCTGCTGTAGACAACGTATCCAGATACGTATAAGAGATGATATTGCGTTTCGATGATTATTTAAATGACTGGCAACTTCGTTTTGTGCCATTCCTGTTTGCAGCATACCCAGTGTGCGTAGACGCTGATTTCAGCAATCCCCTACGTTGATGGTAATGTCCCCTACGTTGATGGTAATGTCCCCTACGTTGATGTAAATATCCCCTACGTTGATGTTAATATCCCCTACGTTGATGTTTATATCCTCTACGTAGATGTTTATATCCTCTACGTAGATGTTAATATCCTCTACGTTGATGTTAATATCCTCTACGTTGATGTTTATATCCTCTACGTTGATGTTTATATCCTCTACGTTGATGCTAATATCCTCTACGTTGATGCTAATATCCTCTACGTAGATGTTTATATCCTCTACGTTGATGTTAATATCATCTACGTAGATGTTTATATCCTCTACGTTGATGCTATTATCCTCTACCTTGATGAATATATCCTCTACGCAGATGTTACTTTTTTAGACTGTGGTACGAATACGCTTCCATATTAAACTGTATAGAAGCAGTGTTTCATTTTCTCCGTTTGTTTTCTAGTATGACGGCGGCCTGTAAATAATGACCCTAGTTTGGGCCAGACAAACACCAACGATAAGAACAGGTTCGGATCCAGAATCCCCAATAAGGCGTAACCATAAATGACAAGGCGTGTGCAATAGGTTCAAGTTTAATACGACTGGTATGGTTCACTGTGTTAAAAAAGTATACATATTGTTATAGCATACACATCACATAAAGTGATTAAAAATATGAGGACAGATATATTAGTCTACAAAAACGAGACATTCAGTTTCGTCCCCTGTTGGGAACATAAATCTTTCATTACATAACAACACCTTATGTACATCATGTTAAAAAAGATTTCAGTTTGGGTGTTTGACCAAAACGCTCGTTCGACTTGCATAGATATAACATATTAACCAGGTTATGACGTATATTAACGTACATGACTACGATATCTACAGCAACATGAAATCTAGGAGAGGTCACCGAGAACAAGTGCAAGGCCAGGTGTTTAATGCTTTGGGCTTGTAAGTAAGTGAGTGAGTGGGGTTGCGTTTAACGTCGCTTTGGTTCGTATTACAGTTATATGACGGTTTAAATGTGGGAGTTATTTCCGAAGTTTGGTACTGTGAGATCAAGGACCTATGAGATCAAGAGCATGACAGTTGAAGCCTTCATCTATTTTGGTCTCGGTTCATGAGGTCAAAGACTTGGTGATTGACAGTTCAAGGTCACCTTAAGGTCAAAGATATTTGCTGGTCACATGGTACATGCTTTTAAAATAATAATGTGATTTTTTTCTATTGTATTAAAATGATGCGTGAAAAATGTTGGTATGTGCGGTATGCGAGTTGTTTCAGTGATATGAAGGACCAATGTATCGCTCATTTTCAAGGACAGATCGATATACAGGAAGCAGTGTAATGTTTATGTTTAAATATGAATTATTATCAACGAGTGAGTGAGTGAGTATGGTTTTACGCCGCTTTTAGCAATATTCCAGCAATATCACGGCGGGGGACACCAGAAATGGGCTTCACACATTGGACCCATTTCGGGAATCGAACCCGGGTCTTCGGCGTGACGAGCGAACGCTTTAACCACTGGGCTACCCGACCGCCCCTATTATCAACGAAGCAAATACAGATGTTAATCTAACAGTGATGCTATACACCATGAATAACCCAATGCACTTCAAGAGATTGGCGTCAAGCAGCATTGAACAGTACTTCAGCTATTTCCAGGCGTGCCATCTTTAAGTTAAGTATCAGGAGAGCTCAAAATGATGATAATCTCGGTGAAGTTTGGATTCGAACCCACGACCAGTATATTATCGCAAGGCTATAGGAACGCGACCATGTCTCCTAACACCTTCGTTCCATAACCACGCCTTCAACCGCCTTAATATGTTCAGTGAAATTAAAGAACTACTTCTATTTAAGAAAAGGAATAGTCGATGAAACGCGCTGTCACGTATCCATAACAACGTCCATCACATCACTCGTTTAACACTGTTGTCTTGACGATGACCTCTGTCACGCTGTAAGGGTCGCAGTTGGATGAAGGGCGTCTGTCTTCAAGGTAGCCCTTTTTGTCTTCCGCCACCTGGCGGGGAATACGGATACTAGCTCCGCGGTTGGCGACACCTGCCGAAAAGTCGTGGATGGATGAAGTCTCGTGGTGTCCCGTGAGACGTCTCTCGTTGTCCTTGCCTTCCTTTGGGTCATACGCCTTTATGTGGCGGACATGTTTCTTGGAAAGTTTGTCAATGGCATCCTCGATAGCCCTGAAAGATACAATAGTATTTGAATTTACTTCGACGTCTTAACCAATTCCTTACCGTCAGCCACGTTAACAGTCTACATAAAGGTCTACTGCCTACATTACGTTAACCGTCTTCATGAAGGTAACAGTCAACGTTAACAAATTCCGTTTACTGTCTCCATCAACGTGTACAACAACGTTTACAATATGCACCAACCTCTACCATCTACAACGTTATCCGTCTTCAAGAACGTTTACCGTTTCCGTTTTGCCGTCTACATTAATGTTTACAGACTAATGTGTGCAGTGTTCAGTGTGCAGTGTTCAGTGTGCATCAACGTCTACCACACTCTAAGTGAACTCACAGAATGCCTCCGTCTTCTCTCATCGCCTTCGTGCTGTAGTTGGTGTGAGCGCCTGCGCCGTTCCAGTCGCCGCTCATTGGCTTAGGGTCAAAGGTCACAACGATTCCAAAATCTTCCGCCACTCTGTGCAGGAGGTACCTGGCCACCCACAGATGGTCGCCCATCTTTATGCCTTCAGTTGGCCCCACTTGAAACTCCCACTGAAATATGGTCAAGCACAACATGACTTAGTTATAGCGCACAACTGTTTGTGAATAGTACGTAACGAGGTCTCGTGAGACCTAATACAAGATGGCGGAGTGCACCAAGTGTTCTATCAGCTAGGTTAGCTCTGAACGTGTACGTCATGTTCTATATTAGACACCAGGAGGGTTGCAAGGGAAGTGTCGTTGACGTTGGTCGCAATGTTGCCGTATTTGCAGGGACACGACGGCGATGAGAAATTTACATTGACTAAAAAAAACTGTTTGGTCATTGGAACAGTAAGCCTCCACTGGATTAATTACGATCTTACACAATCTGGTATGATTGATTGATTGGTTGGTTGGTTGGTTGGTTGGTTGGTTGGTTGGTTTGTTGTTTAACGCCGCATCCAGCAATATTCCAGCTATATGACGGCGGTCTGTAAATAATCGAGTCTGGACCAGATAATCCAGTGATTAATATCATGAGCATCGATCCACGCAATTGGGATCGATAACATGCATCAACCAAGTCAGCGAGTCTGACCACCCGATCCCGTTAGTCGCCTTTTACGACAAGCATGGGTTGCTGAAGACCTATTCTATCCCGGAATCTTCACGGGTCCAATCTAGTATGAGACAAGGTTGATGGTGCCCCATGATACTATTCGACATAAAACCGTAGACAGGGCACACTAAACGGACCAACTCTTCTGTCACAGCCAGTACAGCATCTAACAAATCTCATTGACACAACAGTGGAAGATTGGTTTGTATGGCCTATTTTGTTAACATATTTGCTTGGGTTCAGGGGTTTATACATTTCAAACATCAAACATCAAACATCAAACAATTGAAGGGATGTAATCAGACCCCCCGCGGCTGTAACACCAGTATGTCTATTGAGCTACAAATGCCTGAAGACATGCGTGTCGCCAAGTTACAAGAGTCACCAGCCCATACCGTGCACAGGGTGCAGCTGATATGAAGCCGACTGTTTTCTTCGTGTTGTCAAACGATTCATTCAAGTGTTCATGCATTCCAGTCATGTGAGGCTTTGCAATTTACATCTATATTTACAAGATGATATATCACATTTAAAATGTGAAAAATGAGGTTTTGTTTGTTATTTTACGCCGCACTAGCAATATTCCAGCTATATGACGGCGGTGTTTAAATAATCGAGTCTGGACCAGCCAATCCAGTGATTGACATGAACATCGATCCACGCAATTGGGATTCGATGACACGCATCAACCAAGTCAGCGAGCCTGACCACCCGATCCCGTGAAGATCTATTCTACCCCGGATCTACACGGGTCGAAAAATGAAGTAAATCGTTAACCATCCATCTATGCAGAACGCGCCATACGTTCCAACCCACAACTGCTGTAATGATTAATCTAAACAGACTCATAAACAAATAACTATCAAAGTAGGTATTTTCAATAAGGCTGTCGTAGCAGCCATACTTAAATTCAGATATTAAGGCTGCGAATGACTTCTAAAACACAGTGCACTTTATCGTTGTACCAGTGCAGGTTTTGTGGCCAGGGAGGATATATTTATTGCCATTGGGGGAATATCTGTGTGATGTTTCAAGGCTGAAATAGGATATTAACAATATACCATAGATATATCAGTGTTCGAAATACCTGCCTGCCCGACCGTCCGAGACGGGTTGATTTCAACTCGGGCTGCCAGATTTTCAAATCCCCCTGCCCGACGGTCGGGTTATATTTCACATGTGAAAATATTCTAAATATTTCCCGATGATAAGCATTAATTCACACGTAAAGATGAATGTTAAAATGTAACCAAAAAGAAACCCCGTTAGCTTATCCTGATAAACATATGATTATAGTGGGCAGGCAGGTTTTGGTCAGGGCTGGCAAATATTTCAGCTAGCCAGTCCTGTGGTCTGGCTGAATTTTTTGGGAGTTTCATACCCTGGATATATCCTTAGTAATAGTGAGTGAGTGAGTGATAAATTTCGAAAAGCGACGTAAAACCAAAGTTGTAATGCACAATCTTATGTTATAATAAACCTTGCATTACTGCATATTACCAATATATATTATATCCATCATGTAGTTGAGCCAATATAAGATTGCAATTAATCCATTATGGGCTTCCTGTTCCGATGAACAAACAGTGATTTTTTTAGTCAATGCACATTTGCTCTCCTCGCCGTTGTGTACGTGCGTATACGGCTGCATTCCGGGCAACTTCAACGACACTTCCCTTGCAACCCCCTGGTGTCCAATATGGAACATGACGTACGGCTGATGGAACAATTGGTGCGAGAGGATTGACATAACTGAATGAGAAGGGCTTAGAGTTGGAAAAGCCCCAAGGCGAATTACACCTGGTTAACACACCTGGTTAACACACCTGGTTAACACGCCTGGTTAACACACCTGGTTAACGCGCCTGGTTAACGCGCCTGGTTAACGCGCCTGGTTAACACGCCAGGTTAACACACCTGGTTAACACGCCTGGTTAACACACCTGGTTAATACACCAGGTAAATACACCAGGTTAATACACCAGTCACAAATGTGGAATAAAATGAAAAACATTCTTCCTGTCCAGTATTCCAGTGTTAAGTAAATTGCAAATCAGTTCAATAGGGAAAGGGCTTGGACATGCTGGTCCCCTAGTCATTCGTTTCTTTTCTTTTACCCGACATTTCTTTTGAGGTCTCTTTTTATCAATATATTTTCATTTCCGAGGAACAGTGATCGAAATCCAATTGATCATCTTCCTGAAGCAAACGCGATTTTGATTTGACTATGTTCGGCAAGGGTGGAAACTGGACTTTTACTGTCGGTTAACTCCTGTGCCTCGGGAAAATGAAATAATTTGGCTTTATTTTGTCTTTGTCTACACCAATAGTGTCCTTTATACCTGAGCTGGCATGACCTCGGCGTTACAGCCTGCAATGTCGATCCCCGCATACAGACACGCCCTGTAGTGAGCCTCGACGATGTCGCGGCCGTACACCTTGTCGCAGCCCACGCCGCAGTAGTAGGGACCTGCATGACATCGTGTAACACTGTTAAGACAGGTATGTACACAACAGGGAGTGATTAGCATAACCTGGTACACATGTTTGAACTTTACCACATCATCGCTCTTGCATACAATCGGAATCTGTCATTAGAAATGGTTGCAGTTCGATATTTTAGTTTTAAGTATCTCACTAGCCGGAGTATGTATAATAGCCATCGATGCGATGTCACACTTGGCCAGACAGCTGAGATGGTTTCAGTGAAAATCCTACCAATACCCCCAATTAAGATACCAAATCCCTTTTATCTAACAATAATGCGGCACTTAAGGATCATTCTACCAGAAATGAGGTGCTGAGGGCCCATTCTACCAAGTAATAATTTACCGATGACCCATTCTACCAGAAATAAGGTGCTGAGGGCCCATTCTACCAAGTAATAATTTACCGATGACCAATTCTACCAGTGATAAGGTGCCGATTACCCATTCTATCCAGTAATGAGGTACCAGTGACCCATTCCCACCAGTAATGAAGTACTGGTTGATGTTCTGACACCTACCCTGAGGGCCGGGGAACCCGTTCTTCGGCCAGCCAAACGGATGACCATCTGTGTCCAGCAGCGTGTATTCCTGTTCAATGCCAAACCATGGGATCGAATCCTTCGCCCGCTCCATCACAGCAAGGCAGGAGTGACGACGGTTTGTTTCTGAGGGAGAAATGGTTGGAATTCTGAGGTTGTTATGCGCAACATTGTGTCCAGAGGTGGGCAACAATGTGACCAAAGGTGGGCTGCAATGTGACCAGAGGTGGGCAACAATGTGACCATATTGGGCAACAATGTGACCAGATATGGCCAACAAAGTGACCAGATATTGGCAACAATGTGACCAGAAATACGCAACAAAGTGACCACATGTGGGCAACGATGTGACCAGATGTGGGCAACAATGTGACCAGAAATACGCAACAAAGTGACCAGATGTGGGCAACAAAGTGACCAGAAATACGCAACAAAGTGACCAGAAATACGCAACAAAGTGACCAGATGTGGGCAACAATGTGACCAGAAATACGCAACAAAGTGACCACATGTGGGCAACAAAGTGACCAGAAATACGCAACAAAGTGACCAGATGTGGGCAACAATGTGACCAGAAATACGCCACAAAGTGACCAGATATGGCCAACAATGTGACCAGATGTGGGCAACAAAGTGACCAGATATTGGCAACAATGTGACCAGATGGGGCAACAATTTAAACATTAACACGACGCAGGCCATTATTTACAACTCAACGTCACTATAACTCTGGAGTCAATAAACTGAAACCTAGCAAAACCTGGACAACCCATGTATGTATTATAACCACATTAACATTATAGTCCGGGTATTCAACCCTGATCTCACACACATACTTCATCTGTACATATTAGTGAGTGAGTGAGTTGGGTTTAACGCCGCTTTTAACAATATTCCAGTTATATCGCGGCGTGTCAGCTTAATGTGGGAGGAAAGCCCGAATTGATATTAACATATTAACGTGTGTTTAGGATGTATTCTAGCCATGAGCTGATGTGGTTACGTTCTGGTCTATGTCCGCCACACCGCGACCACCATGGACGACAGCACATGCACTCTGTAACCCAAGACCTGCAGCTATTTAAGCGACACTTGGCAATTTAGTCGATAGCGCCTTTATGACTATTAGATATGCAACATTTGGGAGTTTTAGTTTCGTTTTTTCACACGATCACAATCGTGCTGATGTTGGGTACAATTCGTCATCACTCGCATGTTTCCTTGACCTGTGGCCATAGAGTGCATTCTAGACCGACATGATGTAGCGGGCACTGATAGGATGCCTATAGGTAGACATAGATAGGGCAACATGTTTTTCAACACTGCTCTCTTTACTTCTCTGCAGTAACGAATCGATAATTGCAGCTCATATTCATAAGGTGAAAAGACCCCCGTAGCCAAGTGGATAAAGGGTCTGCCCGGGGAGCGGAACGTCGGAGGTTCGATTCCCTGGCCGCGTCATACATAAATACGCAAAAATATAGTACGAGTTGACCGGAGAGAAAAAGGTCGGTGGTTCGATCTCCTTGTCGCTTGATACCAAAAGATGGTACTTGTTACCCTGTCATGAGCTCGGCATCAAGGGGATAAAGCGACGTGCGCACGCACACGCACACGCACACGCACACGTACACGCGCACACACACACCTTCCCGAGGCAAGGGAGTTAACTGACATTAAGTCCAGTTTCCACCCCTGCCGAACTAAACTGGAATTTCTGGGCTCGATCGTAGTGCCACCAGTGGCCATTACGAGTTATGTCCCTTCTAGGACCCTCCTTTTGACCAATCAAATTTCACCTCTCATATCAAATGCATTTGCTTAAACAAATGACGGCGCCCAATCAAAACAATCTGATTGATAATCAAAACCTGTATTGTAATAAAACGGGTCTTACATCGCGAAGTGCATCAAATCAAGTGAGCACCTTGATTAAAAACATGAAAAGATTTTGAATATATCTGTTGATGCCGAGTTGGCGGTACACATGCTTTGCAAAACCTGCAATCGACCGAAATCTGCACTGGGCTTCACGAACAGGATGTCGATTTCGTCACGCGATTTAAATTGGACAATGCATAAACTCGTCAGTCCAGCCAAAATGTAACTCCATCATTCCAGCCTAGTTCGGCAAGGGTGGAAACTGGACTTTCATAGTCACTTAACTCCCTTGCCTCGGGAAGATGATACTGATAATCCCATCGACTCTCAGACCAGGATAGGGGTGTTCAGCACAGTCGATCCCGGAGTCCCAAGTGGGTGACAAGGAATTGGGACATACTCGACGACAAAAATTCAAAAATTCAAAACGTCAACGCCAGAGAATAATCACTCTCGATTATCAAAAAGATTTCGGTGGGCGTACCATGCAAGATGGTGGTGAAAATTGTACAAATGGATAACTGAAATTCAGTGACGACACAAGGTGTTCACGAAAAGGGTAAGCATGTCCTGCCCTACCGGTAACATGGGGACCTATGCTGTCAAGTATTTTTGAATTTTTTACGCAGAACGTTGTGACCCTGCAGGGATCGATTTCCAAGCTGCACCAGTGCAGGTAAAACATTGTTAGTGCAGGTAACTGTTATTGTCAGGATGCACCCAGGGCAGGTAACATTTCCACCACAGCAGTTATATTTGATAAAAGTAGAAATTTCTTTTAGAATTGGCTGCAAATCTTTTAAAATCCAGGAAACAAAAGTTTATGAAATTAGTGAAATACACAGGAGGTCTGAATGCGGTGAACTTGCAGAACTAATTCTTCACAACTACCACTAGAACAGTCACTTATGAGGTTACAATCAAATCAAACACACTTTGAAACTCTTTTTTGAGGTTGTCATGGATTTTATGATGTGAAAAGCCATATACAGATTTACCTAAAATATACTGGAGCACATTCTCAAGTTTATGTTCTCTATGAGTTTATTTAGTATTCAAAATAATTGAAAATACAGTGTTTCAATTTATGATAAACAGGTGCAGCCAGTATTTTGGTTGTGCAACCTGATTAATGTACCTGGTTGCACCTGGTGCAGGTGGTAAAACAGAATGAAATCGTACCCTGCTATGACCCTCCATGATAAACATTTTCAACCACTGAGAGAGATGGATTCCATGCAGCCATTGTTATTGGAGTAGATCTGACCTACTCTCAGCTCTCTGTGAGCTGACTATTACGTATTACAGCTAAAATGGATAATGCCCTCAAATTGCTTGACGACGGGTCATTATCACACCCGTTGTTAGGTGACGTCACAGGGATAGGAAAGGTGACGTCACGTTCAATAGTGTCGTCATCTGGTTTGTTCTACGACGTTTCCATATTTGTAAAAGTGGGTCAGTAGTGAAATTCGTGTTGATTGCACTAAATGTTTCAAAACCGATATTGTTTATTTTTATTTGATTACAAATTCTATCCATCTATATAATTGTGGTTAAGTATTCACATAGGAGTGTATCTCACATCTTTTATATGAGTATCACAAAAGGCCAAACCGGTTTCAACGACCTTGACTTTCGATGTTAATAATGGTCATGACCATTACCCAGATTGCTGCGATTAAGCCGTGTTATACAAACCACGTTTCAATTGCCACGTGAGTTCACAACCTGCCCCATGTTGTTACAGGCGCTATTAACATAGATGTTGTATAAACAGCTAGGCCAGCACGAGCTGGTATCCAGAATCTCCGAGTACCAGAACTCCCCCGGACTAACATCTAGTCTCTGAAATGAACATAGTTTACTGATAAAAACAGTTGTTAAATTATAGTTATGTAATATAATAAGGATCACAGAGAGTCTCTTCTTCATACCTGATACTGCAGTAATCTAGACTTGACAAATATCATAGACTTGCATGGGCTGTATTGTATATATTTGTTTCAGGGTCTGCATGACAGACTAGAATACCCCCTCTGTCACAAGGTATCGCGAAATCAATGAATATGTTTTTACATATGTCGCAGTGGTTCAAGGCGAGGTCCATTCGAGTTCGAATCCCAGATTGACCCTGATAATTCTCCTCTATGATCTTGGTTTCTCCAAACTGGTACGACCTGCATCAATTTGGCTTTTTCCCCACATCAAGCTGTCAAACGCCATAACTTTAGGATTGTGCTATCAGATACCCGTCAACTGTTGTTCGCAGCCTTTGATTCTTGGCACGCCCGAAACCTATGATGGTTGGTTCGAATCCCGTTTCGTCCCGAATATGTTTCTTGGTTTGACAGCACCATTCGGTGGGTTTCGTCGAAGTCGTTAACGTCTCACACCTTCATCACTTCGGGCTACTTTCAGCCGAAACGCCGTGATATGACTGGAATACTGTTCAAAGCAGCTCTAAAAGCAACTCACTTAATGTAGGCAACCACCAAGAAATCCAACTAGTAGAAGTTTTCGCGTTATAGAATGCAGCACATCACGTTTGTCCTATTTGTAACATCAGCCCTGTGTTTTGGCCAGCATAACCATGAGGTGAGGTGAGGTGAGGTGAAATGGGGTTTAACGTCGCGTCCAAGATTATTGCACTTATATAGCGACGTGCATGCACGTTTGTGTGTTTGTGTGGCTGCTTGTACTAGTCCGGATTATTGCCGATTTATAGTGCTAGCTCACTGAGATACCACGCCGCAGTTAAACATGAATATCCCACTCAGACACAGTATACTGATTCCGACCCGACCAGTCCTTGTTTTAGCCCCTTAATGCCGAGCGCCAGACAGGGTAACAACAAGTACCATCTTTTACGTCTTTTGGTATGACGCGGCCGGGAATCGAACCGGCGGACGCTCTACCACTAGACCACGGAGGCGGTCGCATAATCATGAGTGAGAAACGGTCAGCGTTACAAACTGACCCATGATGTGGAACTCGAATCCGGGTCACGGGCGAACCACGTGTCCACCCAGATAACAAACTTGAGTATATAAATTGACTACATGGCATTTGTGAGTGAGTTGGGTTTAACAGTATTTGTAAGTAATGCTGCAACAGTATCCCAATTACATCACGGCGTGTCAGCATGATGTGGGGGTAAATCCCGAAGTGATGCACGTTTGCCCACGATCATAGGTTTCTGGCGTGCCAAAGGGAGGCAACTCTGCACAACGAATTGCGGCGCCTTTGACTTCAGGACAACCAGGCCCACTCTTCGTGACTAATTTACAAAACGTATCAAACGTAAGTTGAGTGTACGTAATCTGCTTGAACATTCTTGTTAATGCTTAACCTTAAAATTCCTACCAACGCTATCCATCAATGACGCTACACTTGCCATGTGCTACGTACAGTTTGGGTAGACAAGTACCACGAGAGCAATACTCCAGCGATATATCATGGTGGGAGACAAAAGGGTTTCACGCAGTGTACAAATATGGAGAATCAAACCCGGGTCGGAGGCGTAAAGAGCTAACACTTCCACCACTGGGCTAGTCCCACGTTCTTGACGACGGATGACGTACCTGCAGGCTGCATGTTGTACTTGTAGACGTCACACAGCACCAGCTTGTTCTTGCCGCCGCGGAAGGGGTCTCTGAACAACGCCACTGGCTTCACATACATGTCTGAGTTCGAGCCCTCGGCCTGATAGGTGCTGGAACCATCGTAGTTCCAGATTGGACAGTCTACAATGTATAAATACTAAATACTAAATACTAAATAAAAATATTTATATGTTTGTTTGTTTGTTGTTAAACGCCGCACTCAGCAATATTCCTGCCATATGACTGGCAGTCTGACAGAGCTCCAGATAACTTTTTGAGCAATTGAGTTTTTACTCTGGGGTTTCTATTTTAATTTGGTTATTACATTTTTCACTGGGTAACCAATATTTTCCCTTCATCTAATCATTACTCTGTTGTGTTTTTCCCCAAAAGAGTGAACATTTTAAGATCTCAAAAAAATGAAATTATTTTTTAGATTTTTTTTATAACTGTTCAAATATATAGGCTTGACTCGGAAAGTAAATTATCACGTAATTGTGTTTCGGAAATTAGCTCCTTTGTACGCATGCTGAAAAAGCTTCATTCGGTATTTACGGGTGCTGTTTTTATACATTTGAGTTTTTCATTAAATGCATGCGTTTCTGTACGCAAGTTAATTGAAAGTAATTGGGTTTAGAATATTTGGGGGGGATATTTTACGCAAATACCCTGCTTATCTGTAGCTCTGGCGGTCTGTAAATAATCGAGTCTGGACCAGACAATCCAGTGATGCGATCATGAACATCATGTATGTGTATGGTATGGACAGCAAGTGTATTGTACTGTATGTTGCACGTGTGTTGCACGTGTGTTGCACGTGTGTTTGCACGCCTACCTTGAGGGTCCTTGGGCTCGGATGGGAGTGTCCTGCACTTGGTCCTGATGCCCTCTCCTGTCCCGTCGATCCAGAGGTACTCGGCCTGCACCAGGTCATCTGGCTGCTCTAACTCCATGTACTTGGCCAGCACGGCCTTGTTGGTGCATCCGGCAGTCTGTCTGTCAACCATTCTGTCAACACACAGGGAGGGAGTGAGTGAGGCGGTGGCGTTTTATGCCATGTTTTACAATCTTTATGTATTACGCCGGGGCATCGAGAAAAGGTTTCACTTCACGTCACGTTGCGCGGATCTACAGGACCATCTCTCGGTTGTGTGTCAGGTGTTGTGAATTATTCATACAAAGTTTTGATTGATTTGTCATACGTATGTATATATATATATAACCACTATGTGATAAGTTTATTAAAATTGAGTATTTAATAATTACTAATTTATTTTTCCCACCAATAAAGTTGGTTGGTTGGTTGGTTGTTTAACGTCGCACTCAGCAATATTCCAGCTATATGACGGCGGTCTGTAAATCCAGGGATTGACATTATGAGCATCGATCCACGCAATTGGGATCGATGACATGCATCAACCAAGTCAGCGAGCATGACCACCCGATCCCGTTAGTCGCCTTTTACGACAAGCATAGTCGCCGTTTACGGCAAGCATGTGTTGCTGAAGACCTATTCTACCCCGGATCTTCACATGTACTGACCAATAAAGAATACATAATTCATTAATATCATTGAACATTTCGAAATGAATCAAAGTAAAACAGTGTGTCGTCCGTGCATGGTTACTTTTCAGAAGGAAGTTACTGGCGTGTGACGGTGGACGAAATGACCTGAGACAAACACGTGCACTCCTAGTGTAATGGACATGTGATGCACTGAGCTGAAACACGCCCTTCTGTTGATGATGTGAGTGAGTATGGTTTTACGCCATTTCTAGCAGTATTCCAGAAATATCACGGCGGGGGACACAGAAACTAACTTGCTCCTTACACTCCCTTAATCTGTAAATTCTGCTCCCAGATTGTCTGTACTGACCTCAAGAAGTGTGTAAAATAACAAGGCAAAACGTGTTTAGATGTGATCAAATTCTTTTGATTGTTAGCATCTGGATACGGGAAAGAAGAGACGTTGTCCCGTCCCGTCCCGCCCCGCGCTTGCGCAGATACATTAGTACGCAGGATAGTGTTTGCCTCACAACTATAAGATATATATTGGCAGTGAAGAGGAGACATCTCAAGATTTATAGTGTGATTAAAGCTAAAGCAGAAACATGTGGCAATAATGGAAGGAATTATGGGCTTTGTACCATTGTGGGAAATCAAACACAGGTATTCGGTGTTACCACTAGGCAACCCGCCTCCACTGTTGATGACGTGGTCCGCCGCGTACGGTCATACATTACTAAGTGTTTGAGGTTTGATCCAGAAATGGACAGGGCGAAGCCGTATTTATGTTCGTAATATAGTCTTACCAACTCGGTTAATTTCAGCTACTTTAATGAGAGTTCAAATTAAATCGCAAAATCGTAAAATATACAGCAAACCCCTTTTAATCCAGGCACCAAACTTTCCCACGAAAATGTTGTAAATAACACACAACCTGACATCACTTGTGATCAATGACTCGTTAATCCGGACATGTGTTTATGCGAACGATTTCACCAGTTATCTCTTCCGTTCGGATTAAAGAAATATCTGTTGCAGTAGAAACGGTTGTGAATATACTTGTAGTTATTGTCAGTGGCAGCAAGTGACTGAAGTGGTTGTAAAATGCAGAGGCTTGTTGGCGACAGCAAGCGATATGAGTTATCCACCCCTGGTTGTTCGCAAACAAGAATGTGACAGGCTTGATCGTTCGACAAGTTTCGGGACAGGACAGTTTCGCGCGACATGAGGGCGATTCGATGCCTTATTCGACCTGACTTATCTACTTGCTTTGTTGCAGATGGGATTCTTACCAGATTCCAGTACTTTTCTGGATTCAGGAACAGTAGGTCCTGCCAAACATTCGAAAGTGACATTTGTGAGAGCACTAACATTGATTATAGGACCTCATACTCATCGCTGCTGCCACCTCTTTGACCTATTGTATTGTCTGTTATATTTTAGACCACCTCCATAGTCCAGTGGTAGAGCGTCCGCCCGGAGAGCGGAAAGTCCGGGGTTCGATCCCCGGCCGCGTCATACCAAAAGACGTTAAAAGATGGTACTTGTTGTAACCCTGTCTGGCGCTCGGCATTAAGGGCTAAATGAAAGGACTGGTCGGCTCGGAGTCGGTATACTTTGTCTTAGTGGAGTATACATGTTAAACTGCGGTATGGTACCTCAGTACCTTTTAACGTCTTTTGGAATGACGCAGCCAGGGATCGAACTTCCGACTATCCGCTCTCCGGGCGGACGCTCTACCACTAGACCACGGGAAGTATGCAGTTACTTGTTAGTGCCTTGAATTCTCTTTCCAGTTCTTTGAATACTATCTATTGTCAGACACTCGTCAACCGATCCTCATTTGTAGAAATCTCACTGAATGATACGCACAGTGTGGCTGTCATATCACCCAAAACTGAAAACTGTTTTGACAACAGACCTACGGGAAATATTTCACCAAACATTCCTTGTTGGCAAACGGGTAGCATTGAGGTTAAAGCGATCGCTCGTCACTCGTTTCGATTCCTCAAACGGGAACAATCTGAAAAGCCCATTCTTGGTGAACCCGCTGGAATACATATTTACAAGCGGCATAAACCTGTACTCATCCACTCAATTTGAGAAGGTCGTGAATGAAGTATGACCCAAGTTACTTTACACACGAATGTTGTTGTGCTGATGTTATACGGACGACTTATATTTCTACATTGTGTCTTGAACATCCATTCATGAAGTTCACGCACTGATGGTTTTTCCGCGTGACCTAATTAATTGGTTTTTCGAACTCATTGACATCATGTTCCCGATTCATTGGCGTAATCAGTGCGTGGCAGTCAGTGCAGGCCACGCTCGCACAACACACCCAAGCTGGTTTAATATCAATCATCTGCGGATGTTGAACCCACATCAGAACGAGTATTAACCCTTGCTGTGCTGAAGAGCGGGAGACAGAATTGGTCACATCCCCCACATTCTGCTCCTTGTCCCAGACTGTCACGTGGTACACCGCTGGACTTGTCGGTATGGAGATCTGGATTCCAGTTACCAACAAGTTGCAACTACAATGGGGATCGGGTGACTACAATAGAGATCCGGTGGCTACAATGGGTATCAGGTGGCTACAATGGAGATCCGGTAGCTACAATGGGTATCAGGTGGCTACAATGGGTATCAGGTGGCTACAATGGAGATCCGGTGGCTACAATGGGTATCGGGTGACTACAATGGAGATCCGGTAGCTACAATGGGTATCAGGTGGCTACAATGGGGATCAGGTGGCTACAATGGGTATCGGGTGGCTACAATGGAGATCCGGTGGCTACAATGGGTATCGGGTGACTACAATGGGAATCGGGTGGCTACAATGGGTATCGGGTGACTACAATGGGTATCGGGTGGCTACAATGGAGATCCGGTGGCTACAATGGGTATCGGGTGGCTACAATGGAGATCCGGTGGCTACAATGGGTATCGGGTGGCTACAATGGGGATCGGGTTACTACAATGGGTATCGGGTGAAAACAATGGGTATCGGGTGACTACAATGGGTATCGGGTGAAAACAATGGAGATCCGGTGGCTACAATGGGTATCGGGTGGCTACAATGGGGATCGGGTAACTACAATGGGTATCGGGTGAAAACAATGGGTATCGGGTGACTACAATGGGGATCGGTTGAAAACAATGGGGATCGGGTAAAAACAATGGGTATCGGGTGACTACAATGGGTATCGGGCGATTACATTGAGGATCGGGCGACTACAGGTAGAATCGGGTCTCCACATTGGGGGTCGGGTGGCTACCATGGTGATCGATCGGCTAAATGGGTATCGGGTGACTACAATGGGGATCGAGTGACTACAATGGGGATCGAATGGCGATTACATAGGGGATCGGGCGATTATATTAAGGATCGGGCGACTACAGGCGGAATCGCATGGCTACAATGGGGATCGGGCGATTACATTGAGGATCGGGCGACTACAGGTGGAATCGGGTGTCTACAGTGGGGATCGGGTGGCTTCCATGGTGATCGATCGGCTAAATGGGTATCGGGTGGCTACAATGGGGATCGGGTGGCTACAATAGGGATCGGGTGGCTACAATAGGGATCGGGTGGCTACAATGGGGATCGGGTGACTACAATAGGGATCGGGTGGCTACAATGGGGATCGGGTGGCTACAATGGGTATCGCATGGCTACAATGGGGATCGGGTGGCTGCAATGGGGATCGGATGATGGCTACAATCGGGATCGAATGGCGACAATGGGGATCGAATGGCGACAATGTCAAGACGATCTGATCTATAATCAAGATCTATATATTGTCATAAAACGCGTCTTACATCGCGAAGTGCACAAATCACGTGAGCACCTTGATTAAAAACATGAAAAGATTTAGAAAGTATCTATTGACAACGAGTTGGCGGTTCACATGCTTTGCAAATCATCCAATCGACCTAAATCTGCATGACAGTTTACGAACCGGATTTTGATTTCGGAGCGCAATTTTGATTGGACTATGCAAAGACTCGTTAGTCAAGCCAAAATGTAACTCCATAATACCAGCCTAGTTCGGCAAGGGTGGAAACTGGACTTTTACAGTCAGTTAACTCACTTGCCTCGGGAAGATGTATAGTACTGTGACGCCTCATATGCGAACGAAGAAGCATACTGATGTTAAAAACTCATGCACATTGTTTGTTTTTTTGTTGTTTAACGCCGCACTTAGCAATATTCCAGCTATTTGACGGCGGTCTGTAAATAATCAAGTCTGGACCAGACAATCCAGTGATTGACATCATGAGCATCGATCCACGCAATTGGGATACAATGACATACATCAACCATGTCAGCGAGCCTGATCACCCGATCCTGGTAGTCGTCTCTTACGGTAAGCATTGTTTCCATTGTTATGCGTTTCCTAAACCGAAATCAAGAACCCATATCGACGTCATAGTATTTGATGACGTCACACCCTTGTCACGTCACAATTGAAATTGTTGACATCCTGTGACGG